GCCCACCCTTGCCTGGATGCGTCGGCTAGAGGAAAGCTACACTACAAGCCCAGCCGTTGCCCACGCTGGCTTGTGGTAAGTACGATAAGTTCTTCCAGGGCATCCCGCGAACCGGTCCTTAACTGCCATGGGTGCGACCAACAAAACCATGCACCCACAGCCCACCATTCAGTTGCATTTTAGTTGGATAATTACGACCATGAAGCATGGCCAGATGTCTCGAGCACGCAACTCACTCTGATACTAAAAAGGTCTAATACTGCAATTATCCCATCGACTGAGCTAGTGGTAATTAAGCATGGCTAAGCATATAGTTCTAGCTAGGTCATCAAAGTAACACAAGCTAGGCGATTTATTACCCATGGTTGACAAAGGACAGATATCAAGTAAACATGGCACAAGCGAGCAGATAGGTAAAACCCTGACCCCATGTAATCAGCAAAATATGCATATTTATTTGCAAACAGTAAAACATTTGTAAATTAGGATCAACATGCTCAAGGGGAATGTGTGACTTGCCTTTCTTCTTCAAACAATCTTCCGAACTCTTATCCTTGCGACCGCGATCTTCCGAAACGGCGGGAACTACACGCTGGCACGCAAAACGAGGAAAAACTCTATTCCAAGGAAACAGTACATAAAAAGTAAACAAACATGTAGAGCTCAATTTTAGATGAATTTTGCAAGTTGAATGGCTCAATTCGGAGTTCGAATGAATTAGATATGAATTTTAGAAGTTTTGAGCCATTTAAATGAATTTCTAGAATTAAACTCGATTTATTGCGCAATTATTATTTAATTTTACAAAGGAAATGGACCTCGCTGACGTCAGCAAGGGGCGGCCGGCGCCGACACGCGGGCCCCACATGTCAGTGAGTCAAAGGGGGAGGGCGCACGGTGGACATGGTCCAGACGTGGCCTCGGGTGCGCGTCCACCACGTGGACGGCCCAGATCGGCCTGAGCCGATCGGGCGGCCGAGGGGAGCGGCAGCCAGGGGCACAGGCGCGGCACGAAGCCGGCCCGGCCAAGCCAAGGCGCGGCGGCGGCATGCGGCCACCGGCGGCAGCAGCTGGCGACGTGGAACGGCGGCGGGCGGCTGGCGAAGAGGAAAAGGAGGAGGGAGGCGGCTCACCGAGAGGCGCGGCGACGGAGGGAGCGGCCGCGGAGGGAGGCGGCGGCGCTCCACGGGGCGAAGACGACGGCAGCGATTCGGCGGTCTCCAACGAAGGTGGAGGAGCGGCCGGGGTACGGGGGAGCGCGGCGAACGCAGTAGAGGCGGTGGTGTGGCTTGGTGGTGGCTAGGGCGGCGGTGGCGCGCTGCCGGAGTCGGCAAAGTGGCGGTGGAGCTCGGGTTCACGGTGGAATCGGTGCCCGGGTGGTTTATTGCGGAAGCGGAGCGGTGGACGGGATGCGGCAAAGCGCGGCGAGGCCGGCGATGCAAGCGGCGCGGCACGGGGACGGCGGTAGCGGCGGCAGCGGCCGGCTGGAGTCGGCGGCTTCGGTGGAAGGAGGTGGTGCGCGTGGCGACGGTGCTTCGGAGGCGGGGAGGGGAAATGGAGCGGACGCCGGGGTGTGGCACGACGCGGCGAAGCCGCTGGTGGCGGTCGCGCGGAACGACGGTGGTGGGAGCGGCTGTGGCGACCGGCTGGAGGGTCGTCGGCGAGCGGCGGCGGGAGGTGCGACGGTGGCGGGGTGGTTTTCGTGCACGGGAGGGCTTGGGAGAGAGGGGAAAATGGACAGGGAGGTGTGGGGAATGTTTTTATAGGGGAGGGGATGCGGGATCGAGCCCGAGAGAGGTAGAAACCGGCCGGCAACGTGGGAGGAGAGAGAGATGCGGGAGGCGGCGACGTGGCCGGATTTTGCGGGGAGAGTGGGGGGAAACGGCGCGGACGTGGGCGACGACCGCGTCCACGCACGCGCGGGAGAGGGAGTCGCGCGGGAGAGGCGGCGACGTGGGAGGATTTGGCGGCCATGGCGGCGGTTGGGGATGGAGCTGGAGGTAGGAGAAGAAGATGACAGATGGGGCCTCGGGTCCCACCTGTCGGGGAGAGAGGGCAAAACGGGTGAGGGAGGTAAAGCAGACTTGAGGGAGAGAGAGAGCCGAGCGGGCCGAGGGAGGAGGCCGGCCCGAGAGGGAGAGATAAGGGGCGCGCGGGCCGCGGGAGAGAAAGGAGGGATTGGGCCGAAAGGGGCCCAAAGAGAGGAAGGAGGATTTTTTTTCTTTTTATTTTAATTGATGCAATGATCTTTGTGCTATTAAAACTATTTCTCGAGCTCCGAAAATTCACGGAAAATTCTGGAGAGTACATTAGGGCACAAAGAATATTACAAAATATTCCCGGCCAAAGATTTTTTTAAAGGAAATTTTAATTTCCTCTATAATTTCACTTGATTAAATTGATTTAACTTTTAATATAATTTCTAGAAATGCATTATTAATTGATTTTTAATCCCGAACGAAAATCGGGGCGTTACAAATCTACCCCCCTTACAGGAATCTCGTCCCGAGATTCTGGGATGGCTAGAAAGAAAAACTGGGGCTGGCAGGCGGTCTGACTGATTTGCACACTGCATTGTTCCTTTCTGATTCAACTGACCGATTCCTCAATGGTCCAAACCTGCACGACTGAACTGACCGGCATTGACCATTCTGTTCTTTTGCTCCAAACAACTGAACTGACTGGCCTCATTGGATTCGACCTTGGAGTTCTGGCGCCCCACAAGACTAAACTCTGTACGAGTGATCTGGCTGGTTTCAGCTCTGCGGTCCTGTTGCTCCCAAAACTGAACGGATTGGTTCTGCTTGAACTGACCCAGACTAGGACTGCGGATGCTCGTGAAACTTTCTTATCTTGGGATGAACTGTTGATGCTAGCAACTTGATAACATGACAGTTCACCAAGTTGGCTAGAGAAGGATGGAGTTGTTCCTGAATCTTGCATCTGGCATTTGTAACTCATTGATCCTACGTCCGCTTGAATTGGTCCTGGCTCGAATGACAAGTAATTCCAGGAAACCTGCTTGACCTGTCTTTTGTCTGAACTGCAACCGTCTGCTTGACCTGTCTAAGCTAAGCGGTTGAACTGGCCTCATGGGTGTACCTTAGAATTCAATCGGTTGCCCGGGGATCGGCTTAATTCTTCTGATACCTTGCAACATGCTTCTTCAAGTGCTACCCTGATTGCGGCACTGGTTGAGCCTTCAACTAAAACAGCGACGAAGTGAGGCAAAACTCTTCTCCGAGACCTACCCCCCTTACAGGGAGTAGTCTTACTTTCGCGTGGCTGGGATCGGTTGAACTGTTGTCCTTCAAATATATTCAACACTTCTCTGTTTTGCGAAGAGCCCTGACTTTGAAAACTAAAAACTTCGCCGATCGATCAAAATAGAGTAACAACGATGCACTTTCATCCCATTAAGATTTGGAACTTAACCCTCAGTTGCTGATAGGAAATTCCACATAAGGAAATTCTCATTTAGCTTATGATCTTTATAACTCTTGACTACTTCCCCATCAGTTCTACGGCTGGCATAACTAGCATGCTTCTGGACTGACGTCGGTGTCGTATGCTTGGACATATTGCATAGTCGACATTCTTTGAAGCACACATTGACCACTTAACGGATCAAAATCAAGAGTCCTTCTCATGACATAACCCCACACGTCGATTTTTTTTTGACTCTTCCTGGATTGATGAACTGTAAACCCTGCAACTGCTTTCGCAAAAATACTATAGTCTGCACGACTGCCGGAAATTGACTTTGATGCTGCCGAGAGTTCCTGTTCTTTGATCATAACAACTTCGCCTTCATATGTTCGGTAAAGATGTTCCGTTGAAAAGGGATTCTCTACCATATACCCTACTGACTACACATTTCTGGACTCGACTCTATATACTTCTGACCCATGTATTGGAACAATTTCTCTTTCAACTTCTGGGAAACCTCATGAGAATTTTTTTCTGGAACTTATAGCGGTTGCCTTGAACTATGGAAACCATTCTTGTTTCATAATCACACCACTAGGGTGTAATTGCCGCTTACCATTCTCTAACAGTTTCCGAGGCTAGAGATTCCTTGTATGATGTTACTTCCGAATATATTTTTTTTCGTTACTCCTTACACTTGAATACCCTTGGTACTGCCTTTAGAGAGATTTCATAGTGTCGAGCGCCATGGATCCAACCATTGTCACTTTCAAATATTCCATCCCTCTTTTCATTTGAGTACCACTGAGGCTGCCTTTAGAGAGACCTCATCATGTCGAGTGTTGAGGGTCTAACCATTTTCACTCCGTTGGTTAACCATTCCTCTATTGGCTCGCAAACAGGTTTTGGAGCTCAACAAAATTGCGATGAGTTAGAAGAGAAACTCTTGGTTTCTTGTGGCACTGGCAGATACACATGTTAAATTGCTTCTACATGCTCAAGATGAATCATAAAAGGAGAGGAACTGGCTGACTCATATTTTATTCAATATTTCCTTTTCATTACATGGCTGCCATAAACATATATGTACAATGAGAAGTACTACAAAATCAAACCATTGTAGACTGCTGCTGATTAGAACTGCCTTTTAGACCTGAAAAGTAGAGGTCTTGACTGGAACTATTGTTGCTTCCATCATTCAAACCTGACTGACTTGTCCCTTTAGTTCCTACTAGCTGAAGTCTCACCGGGAACGTTGCTCTGCTTGTTGGTCTTCGATGGTGGAGTAACAACTCTCTTGACTGCCGTAGCAGGTGGGACTTCTTACTCGCGGGGTTGCCGAGCGGTGGTTTGTCGATGGGCCTCCGGATTGGAGCAATACGAGGTGCATTGCTAGAACTGACAACAGTCGAGCGACCTGGTGCTGACGACACTTGCTGCGGGTGCTAACGAAGGAGCATACTGCCTCTTTGTAACTGTAGCGAGCTGTTGTTCTCCTAGCATTGCTTACCCTGCTGGCGCTGGTGCTGTAGGCTTGAAACGATGGCCGGTGGAACAATGCGGCCTCTTACGGTGCCCTTGACGATGATCCGTTGAGGCGGAGGTTGCACATTCAGGTGTCGATTGGGGTCGTGGGCAGTGCTGGTAACTTGTGGATCACGACGAACTGCCTTTGCTGCTCTTGGAAGAGGACAATCACTGAAACAATGTCCTGGCTTACGACAGTTGCGACAGAATCGACTTGCTTGGTCCCGGGGTGCAGGCTTCTGATTATGCACTTTGGCAGCTGAAACTGGAACAAGCAGCGATTTATGAACATCCCTAGCGACGTTGCTTCTTCCATGGTTGGCTTCCACCGGGGGTGGAATTGGAGGAAGAGCAGAAGGATTGTGACCGCTGTTGTCGATTGCCATTGGTTGACGAATGGGTTGCACGGTTGCCCCTTGTTCTTTCTTGGTCTTAGCTATGACCGCGTTCAACTGACAGTCCTTAGGCACATGATCTGTTCCTTCACACAAGAAACATGTGATCTTCCTTAAAGGGCATGCATCTGAGTAATGGGTATATTCACCACAGCGGCATGTGGGGAGGCATAAACTAGCAGTGTGTCCGACTATCCCACATCTAGCACATGCTTTGAACTTCAACTCTCTTTCCCTGAAACTGTTAAAGGTCGCATCATCATTGTCATCATTATCATCATCGTTGTCGTCATCGTCGTCAGCAGAAAACCGTTCTCCTGATTCATCATCCTTGGGTCTGGGCGGACCGTACTTTATGAGATGACGGGTTAGCTGACGCGCTCCTCGGAAGGTATTTCTTCCTCTCTGACGCTTGGGTATCCTTGCTGCGTCTTCAGGAGTAAATTCTGAACCGGCGATGATCATGGTCCTGCCATTATCCATCTTCCATATCACTGTCCTGTTCGCTCCAGAGTTGGGCTGCAAAGTACCATCCTTCTTGTCGGTAGACTGACTTGGAGCTTGGTTACTCCCTAGGCACTGCTTCTCGTCTTTTTCAGGTGACCTAGCGAACACCTTCCATGGACAGTTCCTTACATAATGACCTTGCTCACCACAGTCATAACAGGTAGCACTTACTTTCCTTTGGTCTGACGTTGACTTGGCTGTCGTTATCTTCGGGGATCTGGACCGCATTTTGACATGGGTCTTCGGTGCCGATATTGGGAACTCCTGACTCTGACTCTGATTCGGGTTCCGGGCTGGCATCTGATCTCGCACCGGCGGTGGGTGACATTGACGTGACTCCTGACATTGTCGTTGCATCTGTTGCATCTGGTATATTTGGTACCAACGTCGCATCTGTTGTAACAACTCTTCCACTGTCTGAGTTTGATTAGCCATGACTTGGGGTTGAGGCTGATCTTCAAGAGGCTGACGTGGAATACTATTAGAATTGCACTGAGTTGCCCCATGAAACTAACGGGGTCTTGATCCGATGAAATTGTCCCTCATGCGGACCATCTGCTGCAGGCACCAGAGGGAGGGGGAAAAAGGAGGGGTTACTAGAGATGAGGTACTAAACCACTTGCCTATTGATCTGTTGTGAATGGATTTTATGATTCAAGTTGTTTAAGCAAACAACCTAGTATGGTCGCATCCCCACCAATGATGCAAACCATACCCCTACACACAAGCAAGCAACACACGATCTAGAAGCTAACGAAACTACCCTCTAGGGAAGGATTGGGTTTAGGTAAACTTCGGGAAAACTCTTCTTGATCTTCGCGGGACGACGACTCTGGGCTGATCTTCTTGCTCCTTCTGCGCGAAGCTTGAGATTTGACTTCTGAACAGACACGAAACTGACGGTTTGCCCTCCACGTTTGACACTAAAAGAATTGGAGGGACAGGGAGGAGAATTTTGAAAAACCGTTTGACAAAGAAATGCCGAAGGGCGAGAGGAGACATTTTGCAAATAGGGTTTTCAGAAAACTTGTCTTTACGGTTTGACCATTTGGCTCAACCTACAGTCGAGTTGGCTCTGATACCACTTTGTCACGCCTAGAAATTTAACCCAAATTTCCAGACTATTTTGCGTATTAAATCCCTGTCCAGGACCAGCCAGGGTACACAAAACGACAAGTAATATACAGTTCCAAACGTAAATAAAGCGTAAAATACTTACAAAAGAGGCACTTAGTCCTCGCACCGAAACGAAAGCAGCAGCAGCGGAAAAAGGCGATCCTAGCAGGGCTTCAGCTCCACTCCACAGGCAAAACTCAACTGGGGTCTGAGCCTTGGTCCTCTAACTCCATCTTCAGCTCAGAAGCACTACACTTCTGAAAAAGGGGGAATAATAGCAAGACTGAGTACAACCACCGTACTCAGCAAGCCACACCAACGATGCAGACGTGCAAGGGGATACAAGGAGGGGTTTGTGGCTATTTGCATAAAGGCAGTTGTAAAACATTTTATTGAGCAAAACAGTAAAACTGTTGAGTAATTAAAGTAACATTAAATCTCCACTGATCAACGCTACACCACATTGAACAGGCCCAACCAACCCACCTGAACTACAGTGTATTGGATCGATTTATTAAGACGGGACTAATCACGGTGAATCTGGTCGACCGCCCATAACCGCGGGCATGGCTATTCGAATAGTTTTACTCTGATCAGAGGTGTACAACTGTACCCACAAGACACAGCCCCACGACACGTTTCCGTGCGCCGACATGCCACCACGACATACCGGAAAGAGGCCGTGACAGGACCCTTCGCATAACCCCCTCTAACCAAGCACACCACACCTCAGGTTTCACCCCCACTCCTCGCAAGGCAGCGGGCAGTCCCCTCTCGTGCGTAGGTGAATCCGGAAGCCGCATAGGCCGTCGCAGGGCCCATCCAAACTCCATCACGCCCACCCTTGCCTGGATGCGTCGGCTAGAGGAAAGCTACACTACAAGCCCAGCCGTTGCCCACGCTGGCTTGTGGTAAGTATGATAAGTTCTTCCAGGGCATCCCGCGAACCGGTCCTTAACTGCCATGGGTGCGACCAACAAAACCATGCACCCACAGCCCACCATTCAGTTGCATTTTAGTTGGATAATTACGACCATGAAGCATGGCCAGATGTCTCGAGCACGCAGCTCACTCTGATACTAAAAAGGTCTAATACTGCAATTATCCCATCGACTGAGCTAGTGGTAATTAAGCATGGCTAAGCATATAGTTCTAGCTAGGTCATCAAAGTAACACAAGCTAGGTGATTTATTACCCATGGTTGACAAAGGACAGATATCAAGTAAACATGGCACAAGCGAGCAGATAGGTAAAACCCTGACCCCATGTAATTAGCAAAATATGCATATTTATTTGCAAACAGTAAAACATTTGTAAATTAGGATCAACATGCTCAAGGGGAATGTGTGACTTGCCTTTCTTCTTCAAACAATCTTCCGAACTCTTATCCTTGCGACCGCGATCTTCCGAAACGGCGGGAACTACACGCTGGCACGCAAAACGAGGAAAAACTCTAATAAAAACCAAAGAAACAGTACATAAAAAGTAAACAAACATGTAGAGCTCAATTTTAGATGAATTTTGCAAGTTGAATGGCTCAATTCGGAGTTCGAATGAATTAGATATGAATTTTAGAAGTTTTGAGCCATTTAAATGAATTTCTAGAATTAAACTCGATTTATTGCGCAATTATTATTTAATTTTACAAAGGAAATGGACCTCGCTGACGTCTGCAAGGGGCGGCCGGCGCCGACACGTGGGCCCCACATGTCAGCGAGTCAAAGGGGGAGGGCGCACGGTGGACATGGTCCACACGTGGCCTCGGGTGCGCGTCCACCACGTGGACGGCCCAGATCGGCCTGAGCCGATCGGGCGGCCGAGGGGAGCGGTAGCCAGGGGCACAGGCGCGGCACAAAGCCGGCCCGGCCGAGCCAAGGCGCGGCGGCGGCATGCGGCCACCGGCGGCAGCAGCTAGCGACATGGAACGGCGGCGGGCGGCCGGCGAAGAGGAAAAGGAGGAGGGAGGCGGCTCACCGAGAGGCGCGGCGACGGAGGGAGCGGCCGCGGAGGGAGGCGGCGGCGCTCCACGGGGCGAAGACGACGGCGGCGATTCGGCAGTCTCGAACGAAGGTGGAGGAGCGGCCGGGGTATGGGGGAGCGCGGCGAACGCAGTAGAGGCGGTGGCGTGGCTTGGTGGTGGCTAGGGCGGCGGTGGCGCGCTGCCGGAGTCGGCAAAGTGGCGGTGGAGCTCGGGTTCACGGTGGAATCGGTGCCCGGGTGGTTTATTGCGGAAGCGGAGCGGTGGACGGGATGCGGCAAAGCGCGGCGAGGCCGGCGATGCAAGCGGTGCGGCTCGGGGACAGCGGTAGCGGCGGCAGCGGCCGGCTGGAGTCGGCGGCTTCGGTGGAAGGAGGTGGTGCGCGTGGCGACAGTGCTTCGGAGGCGGGGAGGGGAAATGGAGCGGACGCCGGGGTGTGGCACGACGCGGCGAAGCCGCTGGTGGCGGTCGCGCGGAACGACGGTGGTGGGAGCGGCTGTGGCGACTGGCTGGAGGGTCGTCGGCGAGCGGCGGCGGGAGGTGCGACGGTGGCGGGGTGGTTTTCGTGCACGGGAGGGCTCGGGAGAGAGGGGAAAATGGACAGGGAGGTGTGGGGAATGTTTTTATAGGGGAGGGGAGGCGGGATCGGGCCCGAGAGAGGTAGAAACCGGCCGGCAACGTGGGAGGAGAGAGATGCGGGAGGCGGCGACGTGGCCGGATTTTGCGGGGAGAGTGGGGGGAAACGGCGTGGACGTGGGCGACGACCGCGTCCACGCATGCGCGGGAGAGGGAGTCGTGCGGGAGAGGCGGCGACGTGGGAGGATTTGGCAGCCATGGCAGCGGTTGGGGATGGAGCTGGAGGTAGGAGAAGAAGATGACAGATGGGGCCTCGGGTCCCACCTGTCGGGGAGAGAGAGGGGAAAACGGGCAAGGGAGGTAAAGCAGACTTGAGGGAGAGAGAGTCGAGCGGGCCGAGGGAGGAGGCTGGCCCGAGAGGGAGAGATAAGGGGCGCGCGGGCCGCGGGAGAGAAAGGAGGGATTGGGCCGAAAGGGGCCCAAAGAGAGGAAGGAGGATTTTTTTTTCTTTTTATTTTAATTGATGCAATGATCTTTGTGCTATTAAAACTATTTCTCGAGCTCCGAAAATTCTCGGAAAATTCCGGAGAGTACATTAGGGCACAAAGAATATTACAAAATATTCCCGGCCAAAGATTTTTTTAAAGGAAATTTTAATTTCCTCTATAATTTCACTTGATTAAATTGATTTAACTTTTAATATAATTTCTAGAAATGCATTATTAATTGATTTTTAATCCCGAACGAAAATCGGGGCGTTACACCCACATTTGCCAATGTTTGCAAATATTGGCATTAATTGACAAAAGTTCGCCGCGATAAGCACGAAGTGATTTTTTGCCACGAATGAACCCAATTCACTCCAACATGTCCAAAAATCATGTTTTGGTGCTTTTTAAACTTTTTCATTCCGGTCAAAAACATCACACCCACGTGTACCAATATTGGCATTAATTAACAAAAGTTCGCCGCGCGAATCACGAAGTGTGTTTTTTCCACGAACGCACCCAATACACTCCAATATGTACAAAAATCATGTTTTGGTGCGTTTTGAACTTTTTCATTCTGACAAAAAACATCGCACCCACGTGTGCCAATATATGCTAATATTGGCATTCATTGACAAAACCTCGCCGCGCGAATTACGAAGTGATTTTTTTCCACGACGCACCTAATACACTCCAATATGTCCAAAAATCATGTTTTGGTGCTTTTCGAACTTTTTCATTCCGGTCAAAAACATCGCACGCACGTCTGCCAATATCGGCATTAATTGACAAAAGTTCGCCACGCGAATTACGAAGTGATATTTTGCCACGAACACACCCAATACGCTCCAACATGTCCAATAATCATGTTTTGGTGCTTTTTCAACTTTTTCATTCCGGTAAAAAACATCGCACCTACGTCTGCCAATATTTGCCAATGTTGGCATTAATTGACAAAACTGCGCCGCACGAATCACGAAGTTATTTTTTGCCACGAACGCACCCAATACACTGCAATATGTCCAAAAATCATTTTTCTTGTTCATTTTGAACATTTTCATTCCGGTCAAAAACATCGCACCCACGTGTGCCAATATTGGCATTAATTGACAAAAGTTTGCCGCGCAAATCACGAAGTGATTTTTTGCCACGAACGCACCCAATACACTCCAATATGTCCAAAAATCATGTTTTGGTGCTTTTTGAAGTTTTTCATTCCGGTCAAAAGCATCGCACCCACGTCTGCGAATATTTGCCACTATTGGCATTAATTGACAAAACTGCGCCGCACGAATCACGAAGTGATTTTTTGCCACGAACGCACCCAATACACTCCAATATGTCTAAAAATCATGTTTTGGTGCTTTTTGAACATTTTCATTCCGGTCAAAAACATCGTACCCACGTCTGCCAATATTTGCAAATATTGGCATTAATTGACAAAAGTTCACCGCGCGAAGCACGAAGTGATTTTTTGCCACGAACGAACCCAATTCACTCCAACATGTCCAAAAATTATGTTTTGGTGCTTTTTGAACTTTTTATTCCGGTGAAAAACATCGCACCCACGTGTACCAATATTGGCATTAATTAACAAAAGTTCGCCGCGCGAATCACGAAGTGTGTTTTTTCCACGAACGCACCCAATACACTCCAATATGTACAAAAATCATGTTTTGGTGCTTTTTGAACTTTTTCATTCCGGCCAAAAACATCGCACCCACGTGTGCCAATATATGCTAATATTGGCATTCATTGACAAAACCTCGCCGTGCGAATCACGAAGTGATTTTTTGCCACGAACGAACCCTATACACTCCAATATGTCCAAAAATCATGTTTTGGTGCTTTTTGAACTTTTTTCATTCCGGTGAAAAACATTGGACCCACGTCTGCCAATATCTTCCCTATAATTCACCAACTACCTCTTACATCCTTCATATTTCATTCATCAAATTCAACACACCGTATTCATCCACGTGCAATGGAACGATCCAGATCGTCCCACGCTCAGCCTCCCTTCCCCTCCGCTCTCGCACGCTTCCCCTCCTCTCTCGCTCGGATGCACCTATCTCTCTCGCACTGACATAGAAAACCTACACCCGTGCCCCCCTCCTCTTCTCTCGCACAGACGCGCACATCTCCGCGCACCCCCTCCCCACCGCACTCCCATCCTCTCGATCTCTCTCGCACTGACATAGAAAACCTACACCCGTGCCTCCCCTTCTCCACCACGGCGACACCATCGAATCAAAATAGAATTTTTCGCAGTTCATCCACGTGCAATCGAACGATCCAGATCGTCCCACGTTCAGCCTCCCTTCCCCTCCTCTCCCGCACGGACGCGCCCATCTTCGCGCACCCCCTCCCCACCGCACTCCCATCCTCTCGATCTCTCGCACTGACATTGAAAACCTACACCCGTGCCCCCCTTCTCCACCACGGCGACACAATCGAATCAAAATAGAATTTTTCACAGATGTTTGCAGTCAGGCAGAGGCTATTCGCGGCCATAACCGTGGTCCTCCAAATGCCTCCTTACCGGCTTTGACATGGTCGCTGTGCCATTGTAGGTGCCCTTACTGGCCTCCGATTGCACGTGTATCGACATGTGTAGAGGTCAGGTAATGCTCGTTATCTCAGGATGTAGGAAGAATGACGACAAAGGATATGGCTAATGCACTCTTCCTTTTTTTTTCCACCCATTTCCAAATATTTCTGTGCATAAGATCGATATCTGTTATCCATAGAGAAGGGTTATATCAGGGACGGATCTAGAGTGTAACAAGTGGGGGCCTTGGCCCCCACTTAATTTTGCAATGAGTGGGGGAAAATGCCCCCTTGACACTTTTTACTTCCTTAGTCTACCTTAGCGGTAGATCCTTACCCCCACTCATGCTATTTTCTGCCTCAGCTATAAGATTTATGAGGGGGCCTCTGGGCATCCAATTATCCTTTTTGATGTGTGCACCTTGTTGCAATTTTTACTTTTTCGTTCAGCCAGCCCACAATGTGTTGCATAATTAGAGTACTGTAGCACACATTCCTTCTCTCTTTTTTTTGGGTATGTGTATGTGGAGATTGTCAGAAAGTCACATTTAAGGTTGACTGCAAATTCTCTGAAATGCTCTTACTGTTCATTACCTCGAGAAAGTTTCAACAGTAGCCAGTAACTAACATCCATTTTGCATGGCTGAGCCTCATGAGGGCCTGAGGGCTAGAGTAACAAATGTAAGCATGTATATTTTCTATTCAGATGTTGGTTAGGTCTAAACAAAAGCCATCTGTCACTCCTCAAGTGCAACAGAAAAATGCCTTAAGCCACAATGTGTTTTGTATATATACTGCAGCTTTGATTTGAGACATTTGAGAGAAATGATAGTTTGACCATTTACCACGTTTTATAAATGTAAAATGTCAAATATATAATATTGTAATTTTTTCTACTTGTGACGTGGGTTCGACATGAAAACTAATGGTTTCCCTTTGTCAGACCTCCCACAGGGTCCGTGCAGTCAAGAGTGAAAAGCTCTGCTGAGCTAGAGGAGGAGATGCTAGCCAACATCCCAAAATTCAGAGCACGACCATTTAACAAAAAAGTGAGAATTCGTTTACCTTAGTTTGATCATTACTAACTACTCAATCCAGGATCTGAAGACTATTAACTAAATGTTTGCTTATTGCTGAGGCCCCTTTATTTCCTCCTCTTTCAAGGAAAGCTCCACATCTTCCTGAATTCAGTGAACATAATTTTTTTTCATCATTAGAAATTTATGAGTGATAGGTGACAACCTTGTTTGGGTAATTCAGTTATTCCTTTCCAATGCCTGTAGGAGTTTCATCTTAAAACGATGGTGAGAGCTACGCGACATGCAGACACCTGTTCTCGGAAGCTTCTTCAGTGGGGACTGTCAGGGTAAGCTCTTGTGCTTAATGTCAGGATGTCAATTCTTATTAATCTCCTAAAAATTAAAATTTTTGCATTACTGAAAGTTAAATCAATCTTGCAGAGCGAGAGCAGTAAGCCATTGACGTTGGCAGAGCCAAAGCCACCCAACTTCAGACAGCATTACGAGCTAGGCCACCAAGGTTTTCCCTTTGCCACCTGCATCATTCAGAAAACAAGCCATTTTACCCTATTGATTATTTTCGATTACTCTCACATCATCTTTATGCAGGGTGAAAAGTTCAACCCCTTACCGGCTTTGCCATGGTCGCTGCGCCGTTGTAGGTGCCCTTACTGGCCTCCGATTGCACGTGTATCGACATGTGTAGTGGTCAGGTAATGCTCGTTATCTCAAGATGTAGGAAGAATGACCACATGTGTAGTGGTCAGGTAATGCTCGTTATCTCAGGATGTAGGAAGAATGACAACAAAGGATATGACTGATGCCCTCTTCCTTTTTGTTTACACCCATTTCCAAATATTTATGTGCATAAGATCGATATCTGTTATGGCATGTTTTATCCATAGAGAAGGATTATATCAGGGACGGATCTAGAGTGTAACAAGCGGGGGCCTTGGCCCCCACTCAATTTTGCAACGAGTGGGGGCAAATGCCCGCTTGACACTTTTTACTTCCTTAGTCTACCTAAGCGATAGATCCTTACCCCCACTCATGCTATTTTCTGCCTCTGCTACAAGATTTATGAGGTGGCCTTTGGGCATCCAATTATCCTTTTTGATGTGTGCACCTTGTTGCAATTTTTACTTCTTCGTTCAGCCAGCCCACAATGTGTTGCATAATAAGAGTACTGTAGCACATATTCCTTCTCTCTTTTTTGTATGTGTATGTGGAGATTGTCAGAAAGTCACATTTGAGGTTGAGTGCAAATTCTCTGAAATGCTCTTACTGTTCAGTACCTCAAGAAAGTTTCAACAGTAGCTAACATCCATTTTGCATGGCTGAGCCTCATGAGGGCCTGAGGGCTAGAGTAACAAATGTAAGCAGGTATATTTTCTATTCAGATGTTGGTTAGGTCTGAACAAAAGCCATCTGTCACTCCTCAAGTGCAACAGAAAAACGCCTTAAGCCACAATGTGTTTTGTATATATATTGCAGCTTTAATTTGAGACATTGGAGAGAAATGATAGTTTGACCATTTACCACGTTTTATAAATGTAAAATGTCAAATATATAACATTGTAATTTATTCTACTTTGTGACGTGGGTTCGACGTGAAAACTAATGGTTTCCCTTTGTTAGACCTCCCACAGGGTCCGTGCAGTCAAGAGTGAAAAGCTCTGCTGAGCTAGAGGAGGAGATGCTAGCCAACATCCCAAAATTCAGAGCACGACCATTTAACAAAAAAGTGAGAATTCGTTTACCTTAGTTTGATCATTACTAACTACTCAATCCTGGATCTGAAGACTATTAACTAAATGTTTGTTTCATCTTAAAATGATAGTGAGAGCTACGCGACATGCAGACACATGTTCTCAGAAGCTTCTTCAGTCGGGACTGTCAGGGTAAGCTCACTTAACCTGGTTGTGCTTAATGTCAGGATGTCAATTCTTATTAATCTCCTAAAAATTAAATTTTTCGCATTACTGAAAGTTAAATCAATCTTGAAGAGCGAGAGCAGTAAGCCATTGACGTTGGCAAAGTCAAAGCCACCCAACTTCAGACAGCATTGCGAGCTAGGCCACCAAGGTTTTCCCTTTGCCACTTGCATCATTCAGAAAACAAGCCATTTTACCCTATTGATTATTTTCGATTACTCTAACATCATCTTTGTGCAGGGTGAAAAGTTCTCATGAAATTGAACTAGATTTAATTTGAGAATGCATCGTACAATTTAGTTGGCTTTCGAGCTTATTAACTTGATGCTTTCATATGTGATGCTCCTAAGGAATCCTAATATGTTTCTTGTTTTCAACTGTTTGATGAGATAGTTAATTCTATAACCGAATAATCTTCTCAATGCTTATTCAGGACAATGTGTATTTAACTAATGACCAATTTATTATTTATGTACCTTTATGCACATGTTGTTTCCTAATTCAGATTATTATATATCCAATTGTTTCCTGCCAATTTTATAGCAATATTGCTCCTATGAGCTTCCATATACACGTTAAAAGAATGTACCCTGTAATATTTATGGGATCCATAATTCAAGAATTACATACACAAAATATCCTTTCAATCTAGCTAATTATCTGCATGGTGCTGCTAATATTACTACTCACTTGGATATGCCACACATAAGTCCATTCATGCTACACATACACAGATCAACAATATGCAATGGTTTGAGTTCACCTCTTGTATCTGTAATTTATTTTCTTATCTAGATGATATATGGCGTTTAGGAAGGAATGTACATATAGGTCATAGTTATGGCTATGTGAGGGATTCACTGGATTTGTGTTCAACCCTTAAGATATGTCAGGCATGTTAGGCTCAAGTGTATCTGTCAGCAATTACGAATTTTAATTTCTATTTTTGGGTACAAACATCTCCATGTGAATTTAGGTGTATGCATGTTTGTCAGCATGTATGATATTTTGGGAACTTTTTAAAATCTGCTCGTGTAAGTTTTGCCCATATTGTCTTGCCTTTAGTTTGATCTCTTCTCCCTTACCCTTCACTGTGCGATATATTTTTATCATGTATTGATATATAAGTGATGTGTGAACCAATTTAGATTTTTGTTATTTGATTACTGGCATGATGTGATGCAATTGGTTGAACTATTTTGTCTTGTGTGGAAACCTGAGGATTTGTTGGTCTGTATTTTATACATGCTTATAAAATTTAATTGTGAATTGATATTGAAAATTGACGTGAATCTAGGTTGCGCATAAATAATGAATGTGATAATTGAATGTCAATGTGAGAATTTCCAGATAGTAACTGGGTCAATTTATTGATGCCAATTTAGTATGGCAACAATAGTTGAGAGTTTGAGACTGCAGTAACAGTGAGATGCTTGGACAGTCAACACTTATCATTATAATGTGATGATGTTGCTTCACGGAATATGTGATGGCTGAGTTATATATATTTGGTCCTATAATTTAATTGTCTAATTATATATAGTTTGAGACGACAAGATGGCAATATAAAGCTAAAAATTATATACATCGTTAAGTGCTCTCCATTTGAGAGCGAAATTGAACACGTACTAGGGTTGCCCAAACCAAAACAGACCAAGTTTTTGCTTGCTCACAACCTCGTTGGGCTCGGAACAACATCCGAGATGATTTCCTTTGGAAAAAGTCCACTTTAGGTCCCAACCTTGTGTAGCTAGTCGGAAGATCTCTAGGTGTTTCTCGACTCTAAGATGAGACATGTTCGGTTGACTTCCTAGCTTGGTTATTCTAATGTAGAATGACTGAGAACAAACTTCAATTTCCATGTAGGTTAGATTAAACAAATATCATGGCACCGTAACGTTAGTACGGGTATATTACTAGTTGGCACTAATTGACAAAAGTTTACCGCGCGAATCACGAAATGATTTTTTTGTCATGAACACACCCAATACACTCCAATATGTCCAAAAATCATGTTTTTGTGCTTTTTAAACTTTTTCATTCCGGTAAAAAACAACGCACCCACGTGTGCTAATATTGGCATTAATTGATAAAAGTTCGCCGCGCGAATCACGAAATGATTTTTTGCCACGAACGCACCAAATACACTCCAATATGTCCAAAAATCATGTTTTGGTGCTTTTTGAACTTTTTCATTCCGGTCAAAAACATCGCACCCACGTGTGCCAATATTGGCATTAATTGACAAAAGATCGCTGCGCGAATCACGAAGTGAGTTTTTGCCACGAACGCACCCAATACACTCCAATATGTCCAAAAATCATGTTTTCGTGTTTTTAAAACTCTTTTCATTCCGGTCAAAAACATCGCACCCACGTGCGCGCGAATCACGAAGTGATTTTTTGCCACGAACGCACCCAATACACTCCAATGTGTCCAAAAATCATGTATTTGTGCTTTTTGAACTTTTTTCATTCCGGTGAAAAACATTGGACCCACGTGTGCCAATATTAGCATTAATTGACAAAAGTTCGCCGCGTGAATCACGAAGTGATTTTTTGCCACGAATGCACCCAATACACTCCAATATGTCCAAAAATCATTTTTTGGAGATTTTTGAACATTTTCATTCCGGTCAAAAACATCGCACCCACGTGTGTCAATATTTGCATTAATTGACAAAACTTCGCCGCGGGAATCACGAAGTGATTTTTTGCTAGGAACGCACCCAATACACTCCAATATGTCCAAAAATCATTTTTTGGTGCTTTTTGAACTTTTTCATTCCGGTCAAAAATATCGCACCCACATGTGCCAATATTGGCATTAATTGACAAAAGTTCGTCGCGCGAATCGCGAAGTGATTTTTTGCCACGAACGCACCCAATACACTCCAATATGTCCAAAAATCACTTTTTGGAGGTTTTTGAACATTTTCATTCCGGTCAAAAACATTCTACCCACGTGTGCCAATATTGGCGTTAGTTGACAAAAGTTCGCCGCGGGAATCACGAAGTGATTTTTTGCCACGAACGCACCCAATACACTCCAATATGTCCTAAAATCATGTTTTGGTGCTTTTTGAACTTTTTCATTCCGGTAGAAAACATCGCACCCGTGTGGGCCAATATTGGCATTAATTGACAAAATTTCGCCGCGCGAATCACGAAGTGAGTTTTTGCCACGAACGCACCCAATACACTCCAATATGTCCAAAAATAATGTTTTGGTGCTTTTTGAACTTTTTCATTCCGGTCAACAACATCGCACCCACATGTGCCAATATATGCCAATTTTTGCATTAATTGACAAAAGTTTGCCACGCAGATCACGAAGTGATTTTTTGCCACAAACGCACCCAATACACTCCAATATGTCCAATAATCATTTTTTGGTTCTTTTTGAACTTTTTCATTCCGGTCAAAAACATCGCACCCACGTGTGTGTTAACGACAAAATTTGGTAATCTAAGTATTGGAGATGAAGAGGAAATCGAAACGGAGTTCGAGATGGAGATCGTTCCGGAAACAGAGTAAGGATCGGCTGGAGTCCAAATCGGCTGCGATCAATATTGGCAGAGTCCGAGTTGGACGGGTTTAGCCGATTGTGCCGAATCCAACAATATGACACGGCATACATTGTCGGGTTGGGTTTATGTACTTCATGAGAATTGCCACGCATGGATAGAGTCCTAAGAAGGCAATTGTATCTATTAATTAGGATATTTCATGTAATTTTCTTGGAGATATGTTTGGGCAAAAGTCTGCAGCAAAGACTTATGGTATCTTAGAGTTTGTTAGAGATAAGAGTCATGTCCGATATGGACATATTTTGTAATCTCGGGTATAAATAGATCCCGAGCCCGATGTAATAAAACTAACACACGTTCAATACAATCTCAACGCATCGCCACCCTTTTCCTTTCGTTTTGTTTCGACGAGTTATCATATATCTTATATAATCTCTGGCAATATCGCTATCTAACCTCTAATCGGCTAACATCCGTTACTAGAAGGCAGCCGATTAGGTTAAGTATCGACATTGACTTAGATTATATAGGATATCTACCACTCTATTAGGTTAAGTACTAGAAACACCCAACGGCTTGATTGTCTAGATGTTGTCCTTCTTTTCATACTTATAGCTGCATCAGTTAGGTTTGATCTTATGAGTCGTGATTAGAATCTCAATCTCTAGCCTGCTTTTGGTTGCCGATTAGGGTAGCATCAGGGTTTCAGCCGATCTTACCTGATTTAACTATATTTATCTTATATGCTTGATTGACATGTTAAATCTGCCCTTTATGTTAAGATCTTGTTGCATTTAAGTATATTAAGCCTTTCTGTTTGGTATATTCTACTTGCTTTGATATCTTAATATAGAGTGGTATCGGAGTATTAGCCGATACATGCTAGATCTATCTGATCGGCTATGCTATGAACATATATAGTCTTGTTGT